GGTCACAATGATATTTAATTTATAGCTTTAAAATAAGACTTTCTATTTTTTATTGTCATAAAAATGGAGCATTTTATCAAGCAAAAATCATCTAAAGGAGTTTCTTAGCTAGCAAGCTGATGGTCCTCTCCATCAACTGTTTGGAATGCTTTGTGGATAAGATTGTGTTTTAATAAGTTTGTACTTCAATACTTTTAATGAAGGGGAATTTGGCAATAACTATCAACACTGAAATTACATACATACCTCATACAAATGTACATGTATACACACATGCCAGAATCTCGAATTTTCACCTTTCAGCAAATATTGTAATAAACATTCTTGTGTACTTTTTAAAGTATTTTGTCTATCAAAAGGGGTTTGGTTACATAAAATGGTATACTCCCTTTCTTAAATAATGAAGATTCAAATTTATTGACTAGAAAAAGGCATTTGAAACATGTTTTTAAGTTAAAACAATCAAGTTGAAGAAGAATATGCAAAATCTGGTTCTAGTGTTGTTGTTTTGGTATCGTAGGAGAAAAATTTTTGAATATATGCCAACATCTTAACAGTGAGGGTTAAGCATGAGGAGACTTTTGACTTTTACTCTATACATCTGCTTTGTAACAAGCAAATAATTTCTGGGGCAGGGAGAAGAAAAAAAAAAGAAAGAAAGGCATTCGTTTATATGTACTATAATTCAGAATGAAATTTAAATCATCTTATTATAGATTGGAGAAATCACTAAGAATATAAGCAAAGGAAATAGAGATCTAATATTTTAATCTGACTGTCTCCTGCTAATATTGGCATAAACTGCACTAAAGATAACAGACCATCTCATATTATATAGAAAATTTGTTTTACTATATTCTCCAGGATATATAAAACCACCTAAAGGTGGCAACTTTGGGTATGAACCAAGGTATAGAACAAAGCCTGGCTGAAAGACCTTATATTTATCAAATTCATAAGTATTTAAAAAATCTCATATGAATTCTCTGATGTTGAAAAAGTTCATTACATTCATGAGGTCTCTATTTGGAAAATATTCTCTGATATTTAATAAGGGATGTGCCATAGGTAAAGACCCTTCCACATTCATTTATATTCATGAGGCTTATCTCCAGTACACATCCTCTGAAGTCTAGGAAGATGTATACTTGCACTGAAGGCTGTGCCACCTTCATTGCATTTCTGGGTTTTCCCTCTACCATGACAGCTTAGAGAAGGTAAAGAATGAGCTCTATTTGAAGGCTTCCCGGCATGCATTGCATTTCAAAGATTCTCTTCTTTAGTTAGTTCCCCTGAATCTCACTAACATTCAGATTTTTCTTAGGTTTTTATTACATGCATCATGTTTATTTACACTCTATTTGGAATAACACTAATAAAGAATATTGGTTTCAGAATGGTTAGGAAGCACACAGGTTGCTCATTAGTAAGAAAATAATACAACCTAGATTGAAGGTTATTTAAGTAAATAATGTATTGGCATGGGACATTACAGAATCTCAATAAATGTTAGTTTCCTTTTCTCCTTTGGTAAAATGTAGTGCTATTTTTGTTGTAAAATAAGTCACAATAGTAATTCAAGTGCATTCTAAATTGTTTCTTTTTTTTCATACCAGAATGAACTGTAATAATCTTGATGACATTGCAAAGTGTTATTGCTGAAACAATCATTAATCAAGGAGATATCTAGCTGAAAGAAAAACTGTATTGTCTCTACCTGTGAGTCTTTTGCGCTGTTAAAAAATTTCTATGAAGAAGTTCCAGACTAAGGTCAGCAAATACAGCTTATTTTTTGTCATTTGGAAAATTATTGTTTTTATTCCAAAAATGCAAAAATTATTTCCTTTTTAAAAAGTGATGTTAGAATGAAGGTCAAAAGAAAACTAGAACAAGAAAGAAGTGATGTCTGTCTTTTATAATGAGCTTGCCCCAATCTATTTGAGCACCTTGCATGGTTTTTAAGCATATTTAATCATCACTTCAACTAATGTTATTTTTCTCCATGATGTATTTTACTTGCTTATTTTCATAATGATTTAGGTTTCATTGAATTATTTAACTTTGTGTTTCTTGTCTATCTTACTAATTAATATGAGTATAATTTTCCTGTGAGCACCATTTTGGCTATATCATGTTACTGATAGTAATTATGGTTGAGATAACAACTAATTTTTGACTTGTTTGATTGCTTATAATGTGTCATGTATTATGTAAAGTATGCTACATGATGCATGAAATATTGCTTTTTAGCCCTTTTAATGTTTAAATCTGAATTCTATTTTACGCCTCATTGTTTCTTTTGTTACCTTTGCCTAGAATATTAGCTCCTCTTTAACTTTCAACTTGTGTTATTTTAGTTTGTGTCTCTTATAAAGGGTAACAATGTAGCCAATTTAAAAAAAAWTATTTATTCTAATTTGTTATAGATGACAGCAGAATGCAATTCAATTCATGTTACACAAATAGAGCACAATTTTTCATGTCTSTGGTTGTACACAAAGTTGAGTCAATTTAAAAAAAATTACTATGAGACTCTCATTTAATAAGTGAATATAATTTGCTCAAATTGTTGACATGCTCATATAGGTTCCTGACAAGCTCTATCCTGTTTTCTACTTACCCTGCTTTTTTTTTTTTTTTTTGGTACTGCAGATTGAACTCAGGGGCACTGGACCACTGAGCCACATCCCCAGCTCTAAAAAACAAAACAAACAAAAAAAAAACAACAAAAAAAAACTGTTTCTAAAAAATAAAAATTTAGAATTTTTTACTTATAGATAGGGTCTCACTGAGTTGCTTAGCACCTTGCAGTTRCTGAGGCTGGCTTTGAACTCCTCCTGCCTCAGCTTCAGGAGCCACTGGGATTAAAGGCATGTCACCGTGCCCCGTTTATCCTGCTTTTTATTGTTTATATTTTTCCAATCCATGTTCTTTGCTCCATCTTAACTGGACGTATTAGAAGTTATCTAGCCTATATGTGGGGTATCTAAATTGTCAACACATATATTACTATCAATACTCCTGCTTTGCTATGAACATGAAGAACTAAACAAGATCTAGATCCTCACATTCCAACCAAGTTAAGAATCTTGGCAGCATTTTAATTTCTTATTCTGCATACCTTCTTGTCAATTGCCTTTTGTACTCAGATGTTGAGGAGGTACAGATTTTAATTATAAATTTCCATCAAAAAAATTTTTTTAAATCAACACTTATTTTGACCTAACTATAAGTTTTACTTTTTTTACTTGCTCACTATTCTTTACCTCCCATATACCTCTTAGATTAATTTCYAGGAAACACATCTTCTAGAAATTCAGAGAGAGAGTTCAGGGGTATTAAACTTACCAAGTTTATGTGTCTGAAAAGATTTTTATTTTCCTGACATCTGATGATATTTGATATGAGAATGAATTTTATACTCTAAATAATTTTCTCCCAGAATTTTAAGATAACAGCTTTCTTTAAAAAGTTATGTTTATGGGGGCTGGGGATGTGGCTCAAGTGGTAATGCGCTCRCCTGGCATGTGTGGGGGGCTGGGTTCAATCCTCAGCACCACATAAAATAAAATAAAGATGTTGTGTCCACCGAAAACTGAAAAAAAATATTTAAAAAATCTCTCTCTCTCTTAAAAAAAATTATCTTTATGTTATGGGCCAGGCTATATGGGCAATGACCAAACAGACACCATTGTGCCCTGAGACTCCAGGTCATGTAAGAAATGCCTCCCCCAGGGAAAGCCCCACCTCTGTACCCATCAACCTTTGCTTAGCATAGCACGTTTGACAGCACAAAATGGCAATTCTTATGCAATRTAAAAGTGTTCTCTCTTTGGTTCCCGTTTTTCTTGGACAATGTACCCTGTCAGAGATTGATTGTCTAGATGTTAGTAGCCATTCTTTAACTTGTACACAACTAGGGAAGTTTTGGCCCACTCTCTTTTCTGCTTATGATTTTAGACCTCATGATGTTTGTTTATGGCTTTGAATCATAGCAACAGCTATTTATGCTTTAATATGGTTTTGGACTATAAAAGGTGTACCCAAACCCTCGGAGGGGGTCAAAGGGTGTACACTTGCAGCCTGCCCCTTGGCCTGCCAGCTGGTGGATCTGGACCGCCAACTGTTGAATAAAGTTTCCGTCTCCTGCTTTAAGATCCACTCAGTGATTTATTGCAATCTCCCCTTAACATTTAATGATGTCAAGGAAAGTACAATGAATTTTACCTGAACCTTTTAGGATTTTCTCTCTTATCAGTGATGTTAAGTTTCTCCCCTAGTTTAAGACTKGGCATTTTTTCATTAATCTTGCTAAACTGTTTCACTCACAGCAGCTATGTGTTTTCTTTATTCTTCTCCTTTCTATGGGGAACTTTAAAAATATTTATTTGAATATTTCATTCCCTATGTTCCCTCTGACTTCTGAAATGAAATTTCAAATGTTAGAAATGCCACTTTTCCAGGTTGATGCTGTAGCTCAATGATAGAGCAATTGTGTAGCATGCATGAGGCCCCRAGTTTGTACTTAACATTTCTTTTTCTTATATTTAATGACATGATCTCAAGATTCAAATTTCTAGCTCAGTCATTTGTTCTACTGTTATGCTTATACTGATATTTGGGGGGATACAGTAAATTTTTTTCAAACAACATAGTTATAAATTTCTCCCTTATCTAATTGTTTTATCCTCGTAAAATTTGTTTTAATTTCACAAATGTAGCCTCTTACCTCTCTGAAGATATTAATTATACTTCTTGCACAGTCTATTTTTTATTCTGTTATTCCCATCTACTCAACTCTTAATTCTTTATTGCATGCTTTTTCAAAAATGAAATTGCTTTTTCTTATATTTGGTGATGCTAGATCATTTGCTTAAGTTTGTATCTGCTTTTCTCTATTAACTTCAACATACGAAGGCCTGGTGAGGTCACTTCCGCTCCCCTGCCTGAATTGCGCCTGCGCACAACATCTCTTCTGCTCTGATCTCGGGCCTAAGTAGGGGCGACAAGGCTAAATGCACTAAGAAAGTCGGTAAATACGGGACCCGCTACGGTGCCTCTCTACAGAAAATGGTGAAGAAAATTGATATCAGCCRGCACGCCAAGTATACTTGTTCCTTCTGTGGCAAAACCAAGATGAAGAGATGGGCTGTGGGATTCTGGCACTGTGGTTCCTGCACGAAAACAGCGGCTGTTGGTGCCTGGACCTACAACACCACTTCTGCCGTCACAGTCAAGTCTGCAATCAGAAGGCTGAAGGAATTGAAAGACTACCATATCACAAAATTGTGGTTTGTTGTTAATTGCATCAACTGGATGTTCTGATGTGAATTGCATTGATATTGCCCTTTCAAAGGTGATTTTTAAATTGAAGCCCTTCTAATTTGAATTGGAAAATTTTGCTRAGATGGGTTATTGTAATTCAGGTCTTTCCCCCCAAGTAGTCAGATGATAATGGCATGAAACTAAGTCTTACAGCTTAGGTATATGCTTAGCTTTTTTTTAACCACTGTTCAACTACTCAGATACATTGACATATTGTACAATATTTGTTTTAAAGGTAAAATGTGCTAAAATACACAAAGGATATACATAAAAAAAATAATAATGCCTGGTGATTGGGTGAGGACTACCATGGGGTGAATAGCTCAGTTTCTTCATTACAAGTGTCCTTATTTCTCTTCTGTTCCTGGAGGCAGAAGCCTCTTTTTAGAAATAGGTGCAGTGAGGGGCTCACCTACAGTCCTTATGGTAGTACCAACGCCCTGTCCTAGCATCCATGACCTGGAGCAATGCTGGGATGTCACTAACAGTGTCTAATTCAACATGTATTTCAGAACAGAGTTCCCTACTTCCCTTCTCCCCCAGATTCCAGATTCTCTTTCTCTCTTCCTCCACTCATTAGTAATTCCTGGCCCAACGTTCTTGTTTTATAGTATCATTTCAGATATATTTGTTCATTTTCCTGTAATTTCCAGTGATTTGGTGCAGGTGGGGAAGACTGGAACATGCTGTCTTGATTAAGTCTTATGTTTGTGGAGTTATTTTTTAGCATTAATCTTCTGGGACAACAATAAAGCAGTTTTTTATTTTCTTAAAAATTTGGTGGGGGCTGAGGCTGTGGCTTAGCTGTAGAGTGCTCACCCAGCACATACGAGGCCCTGGGTTCGACTCTCAGCACCACATAAAAATAAATAAATAAAATAAAGGTATAAAAAAAAATGTGGTTGTACCTAGGGCCTTGTACATGCTAGGCAAGTACCCTACCACTAAGCTACATCCCCTGCCCTATTTTTCCTTTTAAAGGTATTTGAGGAGTAAAAACATATGATCCTTGCATTTGGGATGCAAGGCAAATATGCAAATTCCACATTATAGGAATGTGATGTTTTAAAAAGCCCCCTCCCACCTAAAGACAGACTTAGCTAGGTGAGATGTGGTAATTGCTAATTAAATGATGTGTTTTTAAGGTGAAGCCAAAGTTCAGAAACACTCACATAAATTATCAGTGTATTTGTTAAAGTTTCTCCTGTGGTGATGTATTTTTTTTTTAGGACAAAACCAAAACAAAGCAGAAAAACCTTTAAAATCCTGCTTTACAAATATAGACATTGGATTTAGGACAGCTTAAGGAAAGACCAATAGCTCTCACATCTTTGTGATCTGAGATCAAATGCTTTGATTCAAATGATAGAAAAATGTGATTGGGAAAGTGGTTTCTAATAAAAGCCATAATGTCATAGTGGCTTTCTTTTCTTCCTACCCATTCATGTGAAGTGTTCTGAAAAATATTATTAGGTTATCTCTCTATATCTGTCTATATTCTATGGGAGAAAAATATAGTTAAAAGATATGAAAGTATTATAACATATGAATAATTTCAAAAAATTTTGAAAAGTGACCTTAAAGCTGCAGAATTCAATCAATTTAATGGGTCACTCTTGAGGATTTATCATTTATGCTTTCTATTTAAGTAGAAAGTGAGTTTATAACAATAAATTGTTTTTGTGGATGCTAGTGGTTGAAGGGAAGAATGAGACAAATATTAATCATCCTGTGAGAGAAACAGAACACAACAAGTGTTTCACTACCAAACTCTGAGTCTGCTTTTCTTTGCTGGAGCTTACCCCAGGTAACGATGCTTCGTGTTAATTCAATTTTGTGAAAGGATTTTTTTCCTTGAAGCTACGATTAAAAATTATAATATCAGCATTCTTTCCTAGACCAACAAAGCAACATTTGGCAGTAGGTGGGAGTGGGACTTTACCCTTTCACACAAAAATTTTGGATTAAATTAGTATTTTATCATCGCCCCAAACACAAGACAACCCTGGGTGCTCTCATCTTGTTTTGCCTTCATAACATAAGGCCAACCTCATACTGGGCACAGATGAGAGAACCAGTGAAGTATTATAGTGGTGTGGCCTGATATCCTAGGAGCAAAAGCTCCAAATAACCTAAGAGGTGGTTGCTAGAATAATTAAACTGCTTTTAGAGTTCTGCTGAATTAACTATATGGCATTAGACTGGCACAGGTGCTTTTTTCTGAGCACCTTATTATACATGATTAGAACTGGAATCTGATGATGCCACAGCCGGAGAGTACCAGCTTGTTTACTGTGACCCAAACCCTGGTAAATCTTCAGTCCTGAGASATGTCCAGTAAGTATAACGAGGACCACTTGACTCACATAGTAGATGGACTTTCCTCCACTGTTCCTCTGTGTCCTTATTGACCTTAGCTTTTTTGTTTCTGGGATACATACTTTTAGTTCATTGTTTTAGGGAATGATGAATTTGGCTGTAGCCAAAAATTCTCTTATTTTAATCCTTAGTGCTCAGTGAAAATAGAATGTCTGATCTTTTTTGGAATTTTTTGGTTAGGCTTTGTTTATGGATTACTATATTAGTTTTCTAAAATGTTTGGTGTCTTCTAATATTAAGTCAATACATTTCTAAGCTTAATTCATGAAAAGGTTTCCATGTTTTGTACCAAGTTTCCATAATGTGATTAAAAGAGAGATGGATAGGCTATTTGTATTTGTACTAAAGCATTTATTTTGTTTTTATTAAATAACAGGCTTTGATGATACAACAAAGTAAACAGGAGAGGAGGCAGGGGACATTCTGCATTCTGGGAGAGGGAATAGCTGGCTATGAAGGCCACAGGCAAAGTAAGTTTTATCACTATAGTGGGCTGAGGGCATAGCTTAGTGGTAGAATAGATGCTTAGCATAGGCCTTGGGTTCCATCCCCAGCAGGAAATGAAGAAGGAAGGGAGGGAATGGAGAAAGGGGAGGGGAGACATTTAAGACATCAAGTTTTACTGGAGAGAGAGAGAGAGAAGGGGAGGGGAGGGAAATGGGGAGGGGATTTATGTGTATATTAGAATGGTATTCTTGGAGATTAAATTTGTGTTTTATCTCTGCTCTTGTGAGATGGGACTGGTAATGCTGGGGAATTATCTAAATGACCAGGGTATATGGACTCACTGAAGAGGATGACTTGTCACTGATACATGGATGAACTAGCTCAGAGGTGAAGGAGTCGGGATGAATGAGCCTCCAGTGTTTGGACATCTGTGCTCCCTTGCAGGCAGTTAAGATCCCCGGAAAGAGAGTGTAAGAAGGGCAGAACTGATGGATCCTTTATCTCCATAAGATAGATAAATAAGCCCCTGTGCACTGGCACAGCTCTGGACTCCATCAAGGTTCTTTGTGAGGGTAGTGGAATGAGCATTGTGTATTCTGAGGCTTATACAGGAGAGCAGCCTGATTCCTGGGGATAGCCTAGAGACTAAAAAGAGGAACAGTGGTTACTAGTCCCACAAGGAAGCACCAGAACTATGCTGGACACGGAGCTCAGGGAGACAGGAACTCAGAGGGAAAGGGCCTTGAGGACTGAAGGACCTGAGCATTGTGTTGGGCCTACAGAGGCAAATGGTAGGCCCCAAGAGGTTGTGAGACTCATCCTGACCTATGTGAAGGCTGAAACTGAGGAACTCCCCTAAGGAAGGAGGTGCAGGGCTAGGTCAGCCATAGTAGAAATATGGTGGTCAGCAGGGAAAGATCCCAGAGTGGCAGCAAAGGGTCAYATCAGCCGTGGGGCTCAGGCTGCTGGTCGTCAGACTGAATGATGTGTGCGGGCAATGCATAGGAAGTGGGGAACCTGGGAGGGCAACACTGACTTTCTTGCCACTCAGGCACTTACTTGGAAGTTCAATCAGTTTTGACTTGAGGTCAGAATGACACGACCAACCCCTCCAACTTTTTTGTGCTCTGAGAAAGTTCCTGACAGTAACAGTTAAATTACTGCTCTTCCAGATTCATTGTGGAATTATGTTTGACTTTAATTTTGTTCATCCTCATCATAGTATTAGAAAATATACACCAGAAAATAAGTACCTGGTATTCTGATTACATGTATTTGCTGTAAAAGAAAAAGTGAGAATCAAGAAATTTCTAGAATTTCCTTACAATGCAATTACCTTATAGATTTTGATTTTGATCTATTAATTAGATCAAAATCAATTTGATTTGATCTATTAAATAGATTTTGCTCTATTAATTTTTTTTCAACTTGATTTCAAAGTGCTGCTCCATTAGTAGGAGATATCTTAGGTGACTTAGAATGCAGAAGAAGGCAACTAGTATAAGATGTCAATAAAGCACTAACCACTGAGCCAGCTCTCTGTTTCAGGTTTCCTCTACTTCAACCTGAGGCCTCAATTCCTCCTCTATAAATCTCTCAAAGATGAGTTTTACCCCCTGAACCACTTTTATGGTTCAAAAACATTTTCCATTGAAAATCATATAATAGCTTCTATAAATCTCAGATCCCAAGAAGACAACTGAAAATCTCAGTGGGATGTAGTGGAAAGATTCTGTATTCTATAAAAACTGAAAACTTGCTTTCAGTAAAAACTGACTAAACTAAGAGGAGATACAGTGATTCAAATGAAATTAAAAGGTATTTGTAATCACACATTTTTAATATGGATAGAAGTATTTGATTACTTAGTAAAGAATCTTTAGGGTAGGTATAACCCCTTTCAGTTTGTCTACGATAAGAATTATCAGTGCTGATTTAAGTATGCTTTTGCTATTTAACAATATGCATTTATAATATGCCCAGTGGAATAAATGTAAGTGTTGTACACAGCATGGGAGATAACAATTACTTACCCTGTAGGTTGGCTCTCAAATTCTTCTGACCATTGCTCTTGAATATCCTCTGTAGAAAGATCTACATCCCGGGTGGTGGCAAAATTGAACTCGCTGCCTTCATTTCCATGGAAATAAATAGAGTTCCCATCTGACTGACAG